GGTTCTCATTATCCATCCTGTCATTTTTCTAGCAGATGCAATTGATACAATGTTATGGTCCTTGAAGGTGAGATCCTCCGACATGATCACTCCCAGGTCTTTGACGTTACAAAAGTTTTGTGTGCACTGACTTGTACTAAGCAAACAGCTAAATATTTTTTTTTGTGATTCAACGCATTTAATCATATTGCTGGAATGTATTACATTAAAACACATTATAATAATACTCTGAACAGTATGGTACTGCATAGTAGGTCATTTTATTTTTGACACGCATTAGCCATACTATGCAAGGTATTGTTGTATGTAAGAGACAACACAATAAGTTTAAGGGGCCCAAGAGTGTTCAGCTGCCTCCCAGCATATATAAGGGGGATTACCAATTGACCCCTGGCTGTCTTCAAGAAGGCACTGGATAAACACCTAAGTCAGTACCTGATCAGCCGGGCTGTGGTTTGTACATCTGTCTGCATACAGCCAGCAGTAACAGCCTGGTTGGTCAGACCCTGATCCACCACGAGGCTTGGTCACAGACTGGGCGGCGGGGGCGTTGATCCCCGAAACCCTCTCCAGGTATACAGCAGTATTTTTCACAATGCTTTTAAAGCACACAAATGTTATGGGCACATTAAAAAGTACATCATGTACATGTAACCTAGTACACTACATAATTCTTTTTCCGAAATTCCAAAATCCGGAAACCTCCAAAATCCTAAAGATTTTCGAGTGTTGACATGATGCGCCACAAATGGATCATTCAGCACAAGACGTAGACGACTCGATCCTCCATCTGTTTAGCTGAGACATAAGCTACACATACAAGAATTCATGCAGGTCATGAGTGCATATTTACCGACTCAGGTATATGAGTATTAGTCGAGACAGATGAGCTTTATATTTGTACTAGCGTCAGTTTGTTGTCAGCAGCAATTGTTCCTGATTACCCGCGTTTTAAGCTGTTGTATGAAGATATTGTTGAAAATGTTAGAAAGGTCTAAGGGTAATAGCGAAAAGAAAAAGAGGAACCATTATGTTTATCTATATCACAAAGTCAAGTTGTTGGAAAAACTCGAGCGGTGTTTGTGAGGCATCTGAGGAGTTTGGCGTTGGAACAACCACTATCTACCACCTAAAGAATCAGAGGGATAAATTGTTGAAGTTCTATGCTGAAAGTGTTGAACAAAAGTTAATGAAAAATAGAAAAAAAAAAAACACTGCGCACAGAAAAATGAAGATCTCGATCGTGTATTGATGGAGTGTAATCGTTAGCGTCGGAGTGAGCATATTCCGGAATGTGGAAAAAGACACTTATGTACAGTTCAGGACATTTATTAAAGGAAACGTTTCGCCACGAGTGGCTTCTTCAGTCCTAATACAGAGAAAACTAAGAAAACACACATATATATAGTGGTGGGAGTCAGGTGAGGTGAAGCGTGGGTAGAGGTGGTAATAGTAGTAGTAGTAGTAATTGAGCTAAGGAGGTGAGGTTAGAGAGGGACCTGCTGGCATCAAGTAACACCAGTTCCCAGGATGGGTAATATCCTCTTGCTTAGTAATTTTGAAATACTGTAACTACCGGATTTTTGCTTTATAGTGTTACTGACAGAAATTAGTGCAGCTTCAATGCATTTTCTCCGTCTTAAGTCGTCTTCTTTAATAACTAGTTTAGCTTCATTGAATTTCATGAGGTGTCCAACATCGTCTCTATGTTGTTAGGTAAGACACATATGCAACAGTTAGGTATCTTTATTATGAAACGTTTCGCCTACACAGTAGGCTTCTTCAGTCAAGTACAGAAAAGTTGATAGAAGCAGAAGATACTTGAAGACGATGTAATCAGTCCATCACCCTTAAAGTTTTGAGGTGGTCAGTCCCTCAGTCTGGAGAAGAGCATTGTTCCATAGTATGAAACAATATGGAGATGAAGTGACAGAATGACGCTTTTTATAGCGCCAAGAGGTGAGACGTAGGCCACTAGGAGAGGTAAGAACTCAGATGTTGAAAGGTCAGGTCCCTCTCAAATCCAGCCGCTCGCACTAGTGGAAGTTGTCGAAGTTGATTGTAGGTCTGTACCAAGATACCCTTGTGTTGCAGTGTCTGACAGATTGAACATTAAAATGGTATAAAATACCGACAGGTTGTCAGGTAAGACACATATGCAACAGTTAGGTATCTTTATTATGAAACGTTTCGCCTACACAGTAGGCTTCTTCAGTCAAGTACAGAAAAGTTGATAGAAGCGCTTTTGCGGTCATCATTTCTGCAAGCATTTTTGTGTTCTGCTATTCTAATGTCCAGAGTTCTGGCTGTTTCCCCTACTCTGGACATTAGAATAGCAGAACACAAAAATGCTTGCAGAAATGATGACCGCAAAAACGCATGTGTTCAACATAGAGACGATGTTGGACACCTCATGAAATTCAATGAAGCTAAACTAGTTATTAAAGAAGACGACTTAAGACGGAGAAAATGCATTGAAGCTGCACTAATTTCTGTCAGTAACACTATAGAGCAAAAATCCGGTAGTTACAGTATTTCAAAATTACTAAGCAAGAGGATATTACCCATCCTGGGAACTGGTGTTACTTGATGCCAGCAGGTCCCTCTCTAACCTCACCTCCTTAGCTCAATTACTACTACTACTACTATTACCACCTCTACCCACGCTTCACCTCACCTGACTCCCACCACTATATATATGTGTTTTCTTAGTTTTCTCTGTATTAGGACTGAAGAAGCCACTCGTGGCGAAACGTTTCCTTTAATAAATGTCCTGAACTGTACATAAGTGTCTTTTTCCACATCTTGTCGGTATCACCATACCATTTCCTCATATTCCGGAATGCTGATCATGAAACAAGCAAAAATATATAATGACACTAAATACTGAAGGTAATTTATTACCCAACAGGCTGGTTACATTATTATTATAATCAAAAAGAAGCGCTAAGCCACAAGGACTATACAGTGGCTGGTTACAAAAATTTAAGAAAAGGCACGGCATTAAATATTTCAAGATTAGTGCTGATAAAGCGTCTGATGGTCATGAAGCAGCAGATAAATTCATTGATGTATTTGCCAAGATTGTTAATGATGAAAAATCTAACGGCATAGTCTGGGTCTGCATTTATCTTCGTTTTTTAAGCAGTGACCATTATTTCCATACCTGTACTGTACAGTACAGTACCGTTTTTAGACTGGGGTCTCATCTCCAAGTTGTCCTATTTTATAGATGCAAATATATAAATATCCCAAAATCCGAATTTCGAAACATTTTCGGTCCCAAGCATTTCGGATACAGATTATTATAATCCTTTGGATAAAAAATTCTTAACTGTATAACCCAATAAAGTAAAGAATTCTGATTTATTTCCACTGGGGTCTCTTTTAAGTCATTTACCTACCACAGCAGTATTTATACAGTTGCTGAACATGTTGGTGATTGATAATAAAGTTTGAAAAAGTTCTTAAACAAGAAAGTTACGTAGTGAAGTTATAACCATTACTACGATGCAGCATCTGTTGCTGCTGTTGTGAGGGGCACAAAGTTCATACCATCTGAGTCCTGTTTTCTGACTGGTGCCTATCTCTCAGCCATGACTCAACCTAGGAGATAATATCTCCTATACCATGTGCTGTTACTTCATCATGTCTCCTGTGTGGAACTTTATCAAAGGCATTAGTGAAAGCTTAATACATATTTTATTAATCTCTGTCTACTGCCTCGAATACCCTAGTGGAAAAATTAGTAAACATAAGAACATAAGAAAGGAGGAACACTGCAGAAGGCCTGTTGGCCCATACTAGGCAGGTCCTTTACAATTCATCCCACTAACAAACTTTGCCCAACCCAATTTTCAATGCCACCCAAGAAACAAGCTCTGATGTGCAAGTCCCACTCAAATCCATCCCCTCCCACTCATGTACTTATCCAACCTAAATTTGAAACTACCCAAAGTCCTAGCCTCAATAACCCAACTAGGTAGACTGTTCCACTCATCAACTACCCTATTTCCAAACCAATACTTTCCTATGTCCTTTCTAAATCTAAACTTATCTAATTTAAATCCATTACTGCGGGTTCTCTCTTGGAGAGACATCCTCAAGATCTTATTAATATCCCCTTTATTAATACCTATCTTCCACTTATACACTTCAATCAGGTCTCCCTCATTCTTCGTCTAACAAGTGAATGTAACTTAAGAGTCTTCAATCTTTCTTCATAAGGAAGATTTCTAATGCTATGTATTAATTTAGTCATCCTACGCTGAATGTTTTCTAACGAATTTATGTCCATTCTGTAATATGGAGACCAGAACTGAGCTGCATAATCTAGGTGAGGCCTTACTAATGATGTATAAAGCTGCAGTATGACCTCTGGACTTCTGTTGCTTACACTTCTTGATATAAATCCCAGTAATCTATTTGCCTTATTACGTACGCTTAGGCATTGCTGGCTTGGTTTAAGGTTGCTGCTTACCATAACCCCCAAGTCCTTTTCGCAATCTGTATAGCTAAGTTCTACATTATTTAACTTATAAGTGCTAGGGTTATGGACACTCCCGAGCTTCAGAACCTTGCATTTGTCTACATTGAACTGCATCTGCCACTTTTCTGACCAAGAAAAGTGGCTTCGAATTGAATCTGGAATTATTTATTCCATCAACTTTTCCACAAACGAGGTTTGGTTGATTTGGCTATATTTTTATACGTAGAATTAAAATTTTCTGACTGCCTTGAACTATTTCTATTCCATAAATTGAAACAGAAGGAAGTGGGCTCATAGGCTTAGGAGATACCATTATCAGGTCTCGCAGCAACAGTAACAAGTCTAGTTATCATGACACTTTTACATTACCTAACGAAATACGAACTCTCGCGTGAAGGATTTACCGTTGTTCGCCGATAAGACTGATAGCCGATGGCATATCATGGCAGGGATGAAGTCGGGGAGATAGTGTGAATGCGGAACCTTTATCAGCTATGTCCTTATCAGACAGCCAGCTAGTGAGGAGGCAACAGCTGGTGCAGACGGAACAATGGTAGAACAGCATTGAATATACCAACTCGTTCAACTTAACACTAGGAGCTTTTGATAGTGATCCAACAATAGTGATTAATTTTTCTGAAGTGCCTTGAAATCTATGGTTTGTGAGATTCCTTATTTGTATTTACGAGTACGTTTTATAAACACTTAAGAAGAGCTATACTCAGTGTTCCGTCTTGTTTCCTGTATCATATAATAATTAAGATTTACAGTGGCTGCAGCGCTATCCACTTTCATCTCCCTTTCTCTGTGTGCTCGACTAATTGAGGTTGAAGGGGTCAAGTCTCAGCTCGTGGCCTCGCATTTCCGCTAGCCACTACTGGGTTCACAATTCTGGCTGTGGGAGTCCTAACATACCGATTTTTCAAACTATGCATTGATCCCGCCTCTGCCACTTTGTAGTTTAGGCCATTCCACTTCCTGACCACTCAAAGACTTAATATTTTCTTACATCCCTGTGGCTCATCTATATTCTTAACTTTTAGCTATGATCTCGTGTACCAGAGACTCACCTCTCAGACTTATCCTGCCCACCCTGTCAATTCCGAACCACCTCAACCTCTCTTCAGCCGTCTGGATAATATAGTAACCCAGCACCTTCTAATCTCCAAGTTATGAATTTTCTGCATATTTACACTACACATTACCCTCAGACATATCTCCACTGCCTCCAGTCTCCTTGCTACAACATTTACAATGCATGCTTCACACACATAAGAGTGCTGGTACGACTACACTCGTATATTTCCCTTTTTGCCTCTATGGATAATTTTGTCTCCACAGATGCCTCAATGGACCACCCATCTTTTCCCCCTTGCCAATACTGTTTCACCTTGACTTTCAAGATCCGTCCGATGACAAGTCCATTCCTAAATATCTGAACATTCACTTCCTTCTTCCAATCTAATATCTAATCTTTCATTACCTAATTTTGTTACCCTTATCATTTTGCTCTTTCTTATATTCGCTTTTCATTTCCTTCTTTTCATACCCTCCCAAACTCACCCACCAACCTTCCCAACTTCTCTCCAGAATCCCCCAAAAGCACCGTGTCATCAGCAAAAAGCAATTGTAACACCTCCCACTTTGCATTCGATTCTACATATTTTAATCCCACACCTCTCCCCAATACCCTAGCACTCACTTTTACAACTCCATCTATGAATATGTTTGGCAACCATGGTGATATCACACATCCCTGTCGAAGACCTACTTTCACTGAAAAATAATCTCCCTCTCTCCTACATATCATAACCTGAGCCTCACTATATCCTCATAAAAACTTAACTGCTTTCAGTAACCTACCAGCTATTCCACACATTTGCAACACCTATTACATTGTTTTCCTATCCACTCCTGTCATATGCCTTTGTCAGTAGTGTTGCTGTGTACTTGTGTAGTATACTTAGATAATCTCAGCTACTTTATATGTTCCCTTGCTAGCCGTGACGTCAAGAGACTCGTCACATGTAAACAGAAGGCCAGAGGCCTCGTGGTCAGTTCCTGCTAGGCATAGACTGGACAAGGCAAGACTCCTGGGCTTCTCCTCAAGGCTCTTAATTATATGCATCCAAGACATCCAACGTATTTCTTACTCCAACATCTGACGAACCCCCACGACACCTTTATTAAAATCATAACTACAACGAAAACTTCCTTACCCATATCTGTTGTTCACTTACATGCTTCATGCACAGCATACATAAAAGGGATTACAGACCCCTGGTTGTCTTCAAGGAGCTGAACAGGCACCTAAAGTCAGTTTTTTACCAACCTGGCTGTGGTTCGTACGTAGGTTTGCGTGCGGCCAGCATTAACAGCCTGGTTGATCAGGCCCAAATCCACTTCGAGGCCTGGTCATAGACCAGGCCGTGGGGACGTTGACCTCCAGCCTAGTCCATTTATTGAATGCAAATACTTGGTCTACACATCCCCTACCCTTTCTAAAGCCTCCTTGTTCATCGGCGATCCTTTCCGTCTTACCCATAATTATTTCAATAATAACTATTATACATTTTCTCTGGTATACTCAACAGGTTTATTCCCTTATTATTCTTACATTCTTTTTCCACTTTTCCTTTATACAAAGAAACTAAGTACACACTTGACACACTTTACCAGTCCCTAGGTCCCTCCCCTTCGTTCATACATTTACTGAAGAGAGAGGAAGGATTGAGAGGAGGAAGAAAGAGGGGAACGGAGGAGATGGAGGGAGGAGATGGAGGGAGGAGAGAGGGATGGGAGGAGGAGGGAGGGAGGGAGAGGAGGAGGGAGAGGAGGAGGAGGAGGGAGGGAGAGGAGGAGGGAGGGAGAGGAGGAGGAGGAGGAGGAGGAGGAGGAGGAGGAGGAGGAGGAGGAGGGAGGGAGGGAGGGAGGGAGGGAGGGAGGAGGGAGGGAGGGAGGAGGGAGGGAGGAGGGAGGGAGGAGGGAGGGAGGGAGGGAGGAGGGAGGGAGGAGGGAGGGAGAGGGAGAGAAGAGAGGGAGAGAAGGAGAGGGAGAGGAGGAGAGGGAGAGGAGGAGAGTGGGAGAGGAGAGTGGGAGAGGAGGGAGGGAGGGGGTGGGTAGCTGTAAATAAAACAAAATATGCCATTTTCAGGAACACTTCCGTTAATGGAGTCACCACAGCTTATCAGAAACCTGTGGTGACGTTTTTTGTTGTGATAAATTTCACATGACGCTAGTCTCTAGTCATACAATGACTATCACTGGTGCCATTAAGCATGTCATCCAGAAAGACAACGTTGACTTTCATTTTATGATCATAGTGTCTAAGCATCTACCTCCTTGTTCCCAGTTAAGACACAAGCCTCGTGAAGATCTCTGAATCTGCGGTGAGTTTTTTCCTCTTTTTCTTGTGTTTGACCATCTCTCCTTCATTTTCCTGCCTTATCTGCTCTTGGTTTGTCAGTTACCTCTTGATGTGGCTGTGCAGACGCTGAGGTTCGCACTTTGCATAGGTTGCTATATCAGTTTCAAACTGCCTTTGATAATTCTTTACAATAAGGAACTCATTCTTAGTTCTGCTTATACCTGATTCCCGTGTTTTATATATTCCACCAGTCTCTCTCTCTCGCCAACATTAGTGGTTCATGGATTCCTAGGCCTTAAGATAAGATAAGATTTCGTTCGGATTTTTAACCCCGGAGGGTTAGCCACCCAGGATAACCCAAGAAAGTCAGTGCGTCATCGAGGACTGTCTAACTTATTTCCATTGGGGTCCTTAATCTTGTCCCCCAGGATGCGACCCACACCAGTCGACTAACACCCGGGTACCTATTTGCTGCTAGGTGAACAGGACAACAGGTGTAAGGAAACGTGTCGAAATGTTTCCACCCGCCGGGAATCGAACCCGGGCCCTCCGTGTGTGAAGCGGGAGCTTTAGCCACCAGGATTATGGATTATGCCTGTACCAGTTTCTCATCTACCACATTCCACCTGTTTACCACCTTCAAACCAAACTATAAAAACAGTATTTCCTTATAACCATGACTCATCTGCGTTATTAGTTTCCATTTACGCATCCTTGTCGCTCTCTCTCTCGCATGTCAGTCTGTTCTTATTCGCTCTATCAAGTCCTCTGATTATTTTGCACACTGTAATCATATCTCCCTTGATGCTTCTCTTTTATGAGGCGAGTAGGTTACGTTCCTTAGTCTCTAAGTATGGCTCAGTTTCCTGGGGCTAGATTTGTTGCAAACCTCTGGACTTGTGTATGAGAAGGTGGGTTGATTTAACGGAGTGGGCAGAAATGGGGTTAAAGAAGGCAAAACCTGTATTACGTTTCCAACACACGAGCCCGTCTAGTAGTAGTGACAGACCACAGTGATCTGTCCCCACGTTGTTTTTTAATTCTTTGGCAAATATACTTTACAAAATGAAAAATAACTCGCATGTAGGGTAGTGAAAATATTATTACCTGATACCATCTAAGTTAGTTGCATGATGATGTATGTTCTCTATCAACTCAGTTAAAAATAAACCTCTCCCTCAACTCCAGAGTTTGCAACAAATCTAGTCCCAGAACTTAGAATATTAAACTATGCTTACACTAAAATAAAAAAAAAATTACCGCCACTTAAATTTTTTTTTTCCAACTTAGAGGAACTTACGGTGACTTTTTAACTATACAGTATTTCCCACCAACAGATGGCAGAGGAGCAAAAATGGGTGCTGGAGGGCATCATAGTGGGCTTGGTGCATATCAAAACACTCACAGAGAATTTTGACAAAGTCATCAAGAATCAAATTGCTCGAGCTGCCTACAGGTATGGTAGTAGTGTTGAGCAACTTGCTGCATCCTTCAATCCATACCATACTTCGGCATCTCCGTCATTTTCTCTCACTCTGGACAACCTATCTTGCAACAGTTGGCCATACCTCCCATTAATTATAAATTTCCTTAGTTTATGTACTTAGTTAAGCCTTTCGTTTACCCACTTGCCAAACATGTCAGATGCTCCTAAAGCCTTTTCAACATTTACGAGTCTACCAATCAACTTATCTACTAATACAAAGTCAAGCAGACTACTGTTCTTCCTAACTCCTAATATTATATCAGCATTCTGTCTGTTTCAGGAAAGTCCAGCGAGCATGCAAGGAGGCAGTGAGTGAGGAAGGTCATCCAGTATGGGATGCAGATTATGACCACCACCTGGGAGCCACAGACACTACACACTACGGCAAGCCCTGCATTATCACATTGCAAGATGACACACTCACGTAAGTGCCTTCTTTAGAGCACAAGATCATATCTGTTACTGAATTTAGATTCATAAAACAGGTTTTGCTACCCCTAATGGAAATAAGCCACACTGCTTAGCTTTCTCGGTTTACCCCGGATTAATACAAATATAATTTTTTCTTCGTCTTAGGTTTATCAGCCACAAGCTGTCCAGGAATCCTTTAATCTACTTTTGTAATTCCAACAGGGTGCAGGAGGGAGAAAGTAATGTGCTGGTGGTGAGCCTGGAATGTGTGAGTGTAGCCATGACAGCCCCAGGGGACCTGTGTCGCTTGGTGCTTGTGGCAGCTCCTAAACAGCACGTCTTCACTCTGGGTCCTCATGCCCACAACCTCGTCCTCATCCTCACCGTCTCCTCCCTGCTGCTACTTGGAAAATTTCTGAATGCCATGTGTATCCTCAATCCCAAGCTCAGGTGAATCTCTTGAAATGATCATGCAGACGTAAATAATTTGCTAATCATTACATTCGACCGTTCTATAGTAATTTTTCCATTTTTCCTATTGTGAAATGTTAAACGTTAAAGTACATAATATTTAATAAAAGTTACAGAATACTTACATAATACTTAATAAAAGTTATAGAATACGTATGCTTGCATTTCTAGACAAAATAATACACTTTGCTTCGGTTCTACTGGTGGTTTCTCAGATGCCCGGGCGCTGATGATTCTTCTAGTGTGCCGCCACCCAAGCCACTGCGAGCATCCCAAAGAAAAAAATCCCGAGACTGTCCTTCTGAGGAGACTCAACAGCTGTCAGAAGATGAACCCCCTAAACTAACTCGTAAGCTCTCTCAAATATTCCGAGATAACATGACAAAAACTCCGGGTTCGAACTCGGCGCAAGACCCGGGGTCGAACTCCCCGGCTCTGGACAAGAGTTCCAACACACCGGCACAAGATGGGGAGAGCTGTGCCGCAGAAGTGTCACCAAATTCGAATGGACATTATCCTCTTCGAGGGCAGCTGAGTAAAACGCGAGCTCAGGACTGTAACTCGGGGTATTACGATGAGGTGCCGTCAGGACCACCAAGAAAGGTATCGGAAGCAGAATCGGAAGGAGGAGAAGAACTTGCCCAAAATGTTGAACAAAGTGTTTAGCATTATGACCAAAGTAGTGTTGAACAATCTGACCATAAACTTAATAAGAGTGTTTAAAGAGCTTGAGAGTGCAGAGATAAATTACAATTATATTGAATAAAAGTCACAATAAAGTGTCTGGAAAAAATTCAATGAACCTACCCTTTGGAAATGAAAACTGGACTAAGTTTCGATCTGTCCGCGAGTGAGAAAATAAAACAAAGAAGAGGCCAGAACATTTAAATTCCAATTTGTGGGGTTGTCGTGACTGTTGCTTCGATTTTTATTAATGTTCCACAGTAATCCAATGATTATACAGCAACAGAGGTAATGAGAGTTATTAAAAATACAACACAAGGTCAGGAAGAAGCTTCATTAATCGCTTTCCTAAATATCGGTAGACTGTCCCTTAAAAGTTGAAGGGAAAGAGATGCCTTCATGATATTGAGGAATCTTATTACAATGAATTTAAACTACACTGCCCTTCCTTGGACCATTTCCCAGACATTGTACGGGAAATAATTACAATAATAATAATAATAATAATAATAATAATAATAATAATAATAATAATAATATAATCGTTACATTGGATGCCCTGCTGTTCTTGCATTACTAAATGTTTCTGATTGCTAATTGCTTATATGCTTAAACATGTGCATTTAACTGCATATTATGATCCTGCCTTTAAGGGCTCTTGATCCATGGAATTCGAGCTTTTTCCTTCCTTTCTATTCTTCGGGAGCAGTATGACCCCTACGGGTTTAACACTTCCCATGAATATCTCCTAATACTAAAATTTACAATATGGATTAGGCATATTTTTATCTTCCCCGCCACATGTTTAAGGCTTAATAAAGGTGCTGTAATTCAATTTTGTGTCGTTTGTATATGTATATACAGCTGTATTTATATTTATATACATAATGTTAATATACTGTATGTAGTTTTCAATTTTTTACCCTTAGCACTATATTTAGAGGAACAAGTGTATATATGCACCTGTTTTAATCCTGCAACACTGCAGAACCACTGGAAGACTCTACAAAACACAAAATGAAGCCCTAAAAATTATTCTGGGCTGTTTTCCATCGAACTACTAAATATGAGGCAAGAATCAGGTATACCTAGTGTGTGGGATTTTTCACGTGAACATAATCTCGAATTAACTTTCCACCCACAATCGGGGAAGAACTCGTGAATACATAACAAAATTGCAACTTACAGAAGTTGATGTATCCTGAAGGCTTCTGAGACTTTAGGGACACTTGTGTCGCTAACAATGTCCCTCTTAATGTCCACAGTCTCAGCTCCCCAAATAGTTCCGGGACCCTGGATTAGGAACATAGTTCCTGTATATTATGAAAATTTACGTTAGTAAAACTATTTAGTTTATAATTAACAAATGGACTTGACTTATTGAAGTATTTTGTTTTGTCTTCTAGGCTACAATTATTAATCACATTATTTCATATTAAGGACATATATTATTACGCTTACCAATCTTTTACATTGGTGGTACGTCCCGATGCCTCCCACAGGCAGATTAAATAGAAAATTGGCTATGCTCTATCAACCTTATCTGTTGTGTGGGATTTTAATATACAATGGGAGGCTGCACGTAGAATCAACATAGCGTCTATTCAATACCACGTTACATTTGTCTGTCATACCATCCTTATTTCTTTCCTTTCTTCATATGTCTGGACCCTTCCAGATGCATTCCCTCTTCGCTTATCTTGTAGTGTAGTCTTTCCCGATATTTCTATCGGCCACTATTACAATAGTGTGCAAATTAATTGGGACTGGAGTAAATTTTGTGATTGTTTAATGTCTTCGTCTCCGGCTTAATGTAGATTGGACTCTTGTCTTTTCAGAAGAACTTGTTATCGACTTCTGGCAACCATCCAGCTGTGTTAGGCAAAAGGACACAAGTGCAACTAATATGACGTTTTAGTGTGGCAACGTTTCGCCATCCAGGAGCTTTGTTAACCTTAACAAAGCTCCTGGAGGGCGAAATGTTGCCACAATAAAATGTCATATTAGTTGCACTTGTGTCCTTTTACCTACCATGTTCTCGGTAATTCTACCAACATTCATACATCCAGCTGTGGTGTTACGTCTCAGCGTTACAACAGCTGTCATTCTGTAAGACTATTCCTGCAAGCGTTCTCCATGAGTGAATGCCGTTTCGCCAAATTGTCCCCATCAGTTTATGATTACTGCTGAAATTCATGAAGGATGTTACACCTAGGAAGCATGCAAGTATTGTAGCTCTTAGAAAACATGCTGATTTGAGTATCAGACAGATCACCAAAAATTTTATCCAAGCAAAGTCAATTGTTGGTCGGATTCTAAAGAGAGCTGACGACACTGGTGATTGTGGAGCGCTGCATCAAGGAACATGTGGAAGAAACTCAAGACAACACCTCACGATGACAAGATTATCATAAATAATGTAAAGGATCCCAAGAAAAACCAACAAATATCTATAGATATTTACACCAGCTTCAGCTGGTGCAAACGTTGATTCTTCAACTGTTCGATGAAGGCTCCTTGAATTTGGCAGAACTGCCAGGAAGCCGGTAAAGAAACAATTGACTGCTGCTATGAAGAAAAAGCGGCCACGGTGGGCATTCCAGGGCACTACAGATGAATGGAGAAAAGTTATATTTTCAGATGAGGTGCATTTTGAAGTACACGAGTACAGACCAGTGATAATGAGACGGAACAAAGGAGAAACTCTTCGGAATACACATTTAACAAGCGCCAAAACACCCACACAAGATGTTTTGGGGTAGTTTTACTGCACAGATCATGGACGGCTTGTTATTGTTGAGGGAACGATGAACAGTGACAAATACAAGGCAATGCTGGCAACTTATTTGTTTCCCGTTGTGGATAGAGACTTTCTTGTTAGAGAAGGCATTTTCCAGCAAGATCTTGCTTTATGCCACACTTCCAGAAAAATGCTGGCATTCATCGAAGAGAGTGAGGATAAAAGTTCTAAACTGGCTTGGAAACTGTGACCTCAACCCAAATGAGAATCTAAGGGCAATAATCAAACGCGGGATTGCGATTGGTATCAGGTCCTAGTAACTGCTGTTACTAGAATCTGATACCACGACGAAGAGATATAACGAAATCGTATCTCTTATTAAATTATCTGTCATATCACTGCCGTGTATCTTTCAAATAAGCATTAATTTTCCACTGTCCCAGTTGGTATGCACATTACTGTATTTAGAGAAACAGTTAACTCACCGGTTTGTATTACCCCCGTACCTTCACATTTTTTTCTTTGTGCTTACCCCCCTTGCTTGTCCATATACATTTTCCACACCTACCGTTGCTGATAAAATACGTGAAATCAATGTCATGATAAGACTGAAGCTGCTCCCTGGTAATCAAAACAATGTCTAAAGAATTATTGGAACATAATTCACAGGACAAGTGAATCAAGATGGAATCAACACAGCCACACACAAAAATGTTCGGACTTCATAAACTGTATCATATTACATAACAGCATTTCCCACCATCCTGGCAGATAACAGATTTTGATATCACTATGCCTACCTATCCTCCCAAGAAACTAATCAAACACAATCCTCAACTTTGATTACTTTCTCAAAACAATGCTCTGGAACACATACACGACCTTAAAACCAAGAATACTATCACACAGACTATGCTGATGGCTACCTTAACCTTGACAATGGGAGGACGGAAAATGCTGTTACTGTAAACCAGCCTGATGGTGCATTAGAATAACTGGGCTTCTACCTTACAAACTGAGCTGTTAGCCATACTTGTTGCTCTCAAGCTTGTGAAAACTACGACCCCACACAGTGTAATTGTAACTGACTCTCATGGAGAGTTTGCCTGGAGAGGGGTTAACATCCCCGCAACCCGGTCGGAGACCAGACCTCATGGTGGATCAGGATATGATCAACCAGGCTGTTACTGCTGGCAGCACGTAAACCAACGTACGAACCACAGCCCGGCTGATCAGGTACTGACTTTAGGTGCTTGTCCAGCGCCTTCTTCAAGAAAGCCAGGGGTCTATTGGTAATCCCCCTTATGTATGCTGGGAGGCAAACAGTCTTGGGTCCCTGACACTGGCTGTGTTGTCTCTTAGCGTACTCGTGACGCCCCTGCTTTTCATTGGGGGAATGTTGCATCTCCTGCCGTCTTTTGCTTTCGTAGGGAGCGATTTTCGTGTGCAAGTTTGGTACTAATCCCTCTAGGTTTTTCTAAATGTATATTATCATGTATCTTTCTCGCCTGCGTTCCAGGGAATACAAATGAAGGGACTTCAACCATTCCCAGTAATTTAGGTGCTTTATCGTACTTATGTGTGCCGTGAAAGTTCTTCGTACACTCTCCAGGTTAGCAATTTCGCCTGCCTCGATGGGGGCAGTTAATGTACAGCAGTATTCCAGCCTAGAGAGAAGAAGCGATTTGAAGAGAATCATCATGGGCTTGGGGTCCTTGGTTTCGAAGGTTTTCATTATCCACTGTATCATCGTCATCCATCCTCATTACCTGCTCTAAATAGCCTGAGACCTGAATGAAGCTAGGCACAGATGTACACAAATTGTTAAGGGATTAAAGTTAAGCGTTTGTGGATTCCCTCTCACATAAACCTCCAGGAGCATTACAAGATTGACGAATTGTTGAGTATAACAACAATTATACGAAGTAATTGTTAATTATGAAAAGGCTACTATTCCTTTCCAGTTATGTAACAATGCTCAGTGGGGGTCTGCCAAAGACCCACCGTGACCTTTCAACATTTTTTTTTTGCGCTACCGCTCACAGGGTGAGCATGGAATGTTAAACTTGCCACTCAGGTAGCACAACTATACACCAAGAGGTAAGTACATGGAGAACACTATGACGGAGTTCATGTCGGGTCTGCAATGAACCGTATACAAATACGTATATTAAGGACTTGCTAACATTGTGAAACAAAAAAGATAAAAGGCAGTTTTCAAGAATTTCTGATAGTATTATATTTCAAATTCTCTGCAATCCAAAAAGATTTAATTTTAAATAAGAATTTGCATAGTTCCTCAGCTCTCACACTGAGGATCCGGGGACCGATCCCGGCACGGGTGAAACGGTAGGCATTTTCCTTACACCTGCTCCTCCCTGTTCACCTAGCAGTAAGTAGGTACCTGGGTATTAGACTTCTGTGGTCGCATCCTAAAGGACAAGATTAACCTAAGTTGCCTAAATGCTCTGCCTAACCAGGGGTTTCTATACAGTGTGTCAGTGATGTCGGTTACGTCAATATCAGTTGTATCATCTACTTGTAGAAAGAAAGATTATTATAGCACAATTTTATAGTGGCCAGAGTAGGCGGTCTGGCCTCAAACATTTTCATCACAGTCATAAAGAATGGATCTGGAAAACAACTAAAAAATATTTAATGAATGAAGTTGGGAAAAAAAAGGGATAGCGTCTTCGTGCATTATTAAAATATTAATTTTTAAAATATATAAATTTGTGTTGATCTAAGTTTATCATTGATATCAAATGTAACATATAACACAGGGACACCCATGTAGATAAGTCACAGTTCTTGACTTTCTTGTCTTATCCTAGGTTAAATTCTACTTGATTTACTTTATTAAATCATTGTAAAAGTTTAAAATTAATTTAATTTGCTCGAAATACTTGCATAACTAAGTTCTTTACCATATGGTATGAAAAACTTATTGTTTCTCTACTGATTAAAAAAGATTTGGTAGGTCCGTTTTCTGTCACAAAATTGTAATAGAAAACAAACAAGAGAACAGAAGGCAAACTATTTAACATTTCGTCCAGTGTCAGTAAGTAATTCAAATCCAAATTCAAATTCAAAGTTTATTCTCTATAAAGATTACAATGTTGATTTTACAGAAATTTGGTTATTGTGTGGTTTACATGT